GCAAAACAAGTTTCCCAGATCTCTGTCTGTCTGCTTGTCTGCCCGGGCGAATCATTTAGCAAATTAAATTTGCATTTCACAGCGTTTTGCCACGAGAACGCGATGGAAGATGCAGTGTACGGGATGCCTCTACAATGTCTGTACATATTTACACTAGGGTGATTCAAGCGTGCAAAGATATATTTGAAATTTGTGAGCATTAACGGGTAGGAAGCGCATTTGATTTTCTAGCGCATGCGCACCTGAAGGAACAAGATGTTCACTCGAACCTGCTCATTGGGGGATTCTCTAGAGATGCTCGCTTGGACCCCCTAATGCTCGACAGTGCAAGTGAAGGTCGCAGCCAGGGGGCGCACGCATTGCTCGATGTGCGAGTGCCGGAGGCAATTGAAATGCTTTGCAGCAAAGAAAAGGCGAATCGAACCGCTGTGAAATGCTTTTATAATGAGTTAATAAGCAATCCCCGAGAGCACCTGTTGCCAGCGCCGACAACGACGACGGGAGCAAACTGCCAAGTAATTAAGAGATTTCCTTGGGCCCCAGCCTCAGAACGGTTCGATTGGATTGGCCCAGATGCACTCAGTTCCAGCATTAGCTTTGTGGCTTGCTTGTTTCTACCCTTATGGAGGGTACTGTTACTGTGAGAAGATACTTGCTGCACCCAAACTTGAATGGCACTGAATGGATATGCAAGGGTATCAATAGCTTCGGATCCTCATACTTGTCCGCTGTACTCGATTTGTTTTTGCGCCATTTTAATTGCTAATCAAATCGATTTATTATTCTGTGTTGTCTAAGTAATTTATTAACTATTACATTTTGTTACGATTTTTGCTACGCTCATTGCATACAGCAGCACCTGCTCTCCCCCTGCCCAGCTCTCTTTCCACATCTCTCTCTCTCTCTGTTGTCTGTTGGAAGGGTGGCGGGCAAGTGGCGCCAACTGACATCGGCGGAAAATGTTTTCAAAATGAATTAGCGACAAAGGGAAGTGTGTGCGGTTTCTCTCTGTTATATTTGTACCCACTTAAGTGTATAATTGATTGACTGCGAGTGGGGGAACTTTAGTGAACAGGAGAGAGAAATCTGCTCTGGAATCCTGCTAGGCTAATTTCTGTGCCTGCGAAGCTGACTCTTGAGCTACCACCTGCCAGATGGCGGATCTATGTATACATGTGCGTGTATGTAAATTAAAGAAAAAAAAATATGCAACAAACGTGTCACAGACAGCGGGAATTTGTTTGCTGTCTAAAATATTACAATTTTCATTTGTAAGTTTCAGCGCACGCACAAACATAAAGAAACATGAAAATAAATTGGCTCGGCATCGCAGCCGAAACATGGATACTGATGCACAGATGTACATATGTACATACACAGATACACAGAACAGTGAGTTCCCGCAGTCATGCTTCTGGCACATACTTTTTAGCCACTTTGACTAAAGCAATAACATTAGCACTTGGCTGGCGCTCTTTTTGCCACAAAACTATTTCTGGCAGCTTACAAGAACAAGAACAAAAAAACAAATAGATACAATAACTGCATACATACATACATATGTATGTGTGCAAAGCTCAAAAAACTGTAAAAACATTTGAATATGTTCTTGGGAATTTTGAACTTGTCAAAAGGGATGGAAGGAGAAAGCCGCGAGGGAACGGAACAAAGTCTAAGTGGATTGTTCTCTGCTTCGAGCTGCATACATAAATATGTATGATGTACAATACAAACATAAATATGTACATACATACATCTACATATGTAGATGGCTAGAATGGCTGGCTGTTAGAGGGACCGGTGACAAAGAGCACAGAGTACAGAAACCGCGTCTGGTCTGCAAGTGCGTTCTGCATCTGCAAATACTCGTACGAGTGCCTGTCTGTAGTAAGTGTGGTACGGTCAATGCACAGACTGAGACGACCAGACAAATATTTGTTTGCTTTTGTTGTCTCTGCAAATGGGTGGAAGTGGGTGTGGATGTGGATGAGGATGAGGAGGTGGAGGCCTGACCACGTCACATCACCCAGCCGGTCGGTCCTCATCGCCGTCGTCATCCATATGGTAAAACTATTTTTAAAAATGTTTTAATTATTTGCTGGCATATTCCTTAAAGCGTTGACTAGTCGGCGGCGTCTCCGTCTGCTGGTCTGGGGCCATGAGGGATGGTGGGGGCACTGCCAGAATGTGCAACAACTTTAGAGGTTTTCTCTGTTTGGTGCATTTTCTTTTGCGTGGGCTTTGATTTTTACTTTTATTCTCTCTGTGCATAGTACATTAAGTGTGAAGTTTTCTCCCAATAGAAATATTATTGTCGCGTCGCGCCTAATGTGTCGCAGCTTGCATGTAATTTTCTCTTTTGTCACCCGCCAACACTCACTCTACCTCCCTCCCTCCCATGCATTCCCATGCATTCCCAAGCATTCCCATACATTCCCGTACACAAAATGTCTGGGAGATCCCACCCGTGCCAGCAGCTGCATCAGAAGTTTGCTCTCTCCCCTGCAGTCACCTGAAGAGAGAGAGAGAGAGAGGAGTGTGAGTATTGGAAATGGAACGCTGCGCTCTCTGGGAATTCCTCAACTGTTATACAGTAAGTTAGCAAAGCTGCCATGCGAAATTTAGGAACAACAAATTCAATGCTTTAACCGTAACCAACGATCGTCGTTCTGTACAGCAAGTCAAACATCGATTCTATCGGCCAGCGACAATGGAAACACCAAGTACAAGTGGTGGTCGTGCCCCTGCTGCGGCTTTGCCACAATGCATTTGCTATTTATTTTTTTAACCGTCAGCAGAGGCAGTCCAGACTTGAGACGGCCAACAAACCGCAAGCATGCTCGCTTTACAGGCTTCTCTTAACCCGTAGACAAGACGCCCAATGAAGCGAGAAAAATTACTGTTTGTTAAGTGAGTTTGTCAACAACAGGCGTGTGCGCATCACATACATGTGTACATGCATATGTTGAAAAGAGACAGAGAGACATAGCCATAGACAGATGGAGAGACACAAACAAGTATCATTAACGCAATGCCCAAACCGTTAGAGAGAGAGACATTCGAGTTTGGGAGAGAGCTGGAGTTGGTGGCATTGGCATGTTTACCCGGAAGCCGACTTCAAAAACTCCATAACGCTGAGTATTTTTCTGCAGAACTTTTCTTTGGTTTGGCTTGGCTTGGTTTGGCTGTGTGTTGGAAGGGGGTGCGGTGCGGTGCGGTGCCATTGCAATGTATGTAATTGAATACCTGGCATGGCGCATACACTAACTTTCGCCAGATCATACTCTTTTCCTCTTGACGAATGTTTTGTTTGGGAGTCTCTCATTCGTTGTTCGCAGTTATTGTTACCCTCGCGTAAGTTTAATATTTTGAAAGGGTATCTAAAGCCTCGGCTACTGAGACCATCTTTCCTTTTGAATACTGTTCTTGTTTGGGTTCTTGTTCTGTCTAAAAATGGTACTTGGAGCCCATCATAGACATCTTGCGCACAGAAGCCAGCACAGCGGGCGCACCGCCAAGCCAAGGCTGCTGCTCCCCACTGGTCACTGGTCACTGGTCACTGGACCCTGGACATACACATATTGTCAGCAATTACTCATTTATGGCCAGCCAGCGGCATTTCTCGATATCGGCCCCTATGCGTGTGCTGCGTGTGTCCTTTTGCGGCCACTTATTAGAGCATTTCAGAGGGTATAACACTTTTGGTCACAGAAGGAAGCAGCAGCAACGCATGGAATGGAACACTCGAGCTGCAAGGGAATCCAAAGCGTCGGCCTTTAAACCTTATTTTCACTCCTATTGGGCATCTCTGGGATGCATTGAATTCATGCATAAGTTTTACTCCCTTCGACTTCCCTTTCTATATATAACAATTAAGTACGTGGAATTACAAAATCGTATTAATAGTATCGTTAATTTTCCACTGAAAAAACCTTGTCCAAATCTTCCGTTTCCATCGAAACATCGAGCAACTAAATGTCCAAAACTAGTCCCATTTGCTTCGATTAAATGAATCCACAGTCCACACGAATCATACGAGTAATGTAGGGATGAACTTTGCTCCCGATTAAAGCTAATCAGGCCATCGTCATCGTCTATTTTTTTGACAGCCGATAGTGGGTTCGTAAGGGCTCGCATATCTGACCTCTGCCACTGACACATTATCGCTCTCAGCGACAGTTGCGGTATCGCTGATGCTGCCGCTGCTGCTGCTGCTGCTGTTGTCTACGATCTGGAGCTGGAGTTGGTCTTGGCCTGGGGACCGGGCCTGAGGCTGATAAGCAAAATTTCAATTTTCAAAATCCAGCAATCACAAATCGATGTTCTATTTTAATAAGGGCATTAAAAATACATTTTCATGGTGGTGCACGAAGACGGTCTGTGGACAGAGAGAGACTGATTCGGTAATCAGTTCAGCGAGAAGATTTTCTTTGGGCGGGCCACCCGGGGTTATCGGTCTTCCAAATGCAACTGAGTGAATCCCATTGCATATGTTATTTTTCAAACGTTTATGTGCCATTTGACACACTTGCAGAGGCTCTCAAATCCACTTACACAATGTAATCGACCAGCGGGACTCGGACTATCAGTCGGTCGACTGTGTACAGTGGAACCTTTTAATCATTCCAGCCAGCACAACACTGACTTGTGGTGTACAGATGATAGTCAGGTTCTGAGCGCATGAATCCAATGAAATCTATTCGTGAACCCCTCTGAACTTTGAGCTACAAAATGCAAAAGTAGTTTGAAGCGAGTTCATTGAACACAAAGATCCCTCTGTTGCTTAAGATCCATGAGGTAATACTTGGCAGGATGGATCCATAAGGGTCCTCCCTTTCATTTAACTTTTAACATTTTGACATTTCGCTCTGGCGTTGGCCGACTAAATGGCGCCCCCCGAGAACTATTCTCTATTTTTTGCACACTGTTTGTCCTCTGCTCATGTCCACCTCTGTCTGGCCGTCAGTTCGCTTTTAGTTTTCAGCATTTACTTGCCGCATTGTTGGCATTTTTGTAGCCGCTCGCACTCGCAGCTCTATGCACAATATATGGCATGTTTATTCTCGTTTTGCCTCAGTCGTATTCTGTGTGTGTTTTATTTGTATGGCAAATGCCGCGTGCTCATCACTTGCAGACACTCTAGAATGCCAGCAGATACGCTCTCAGAGTGCCCATACAGAGAAATGTAAAATCGAATGATATTAACAATTGCTGATGGATAGTATAGTAAACCAGAGCCTAGCATGTTTTATAATTGACGCAGGTCCAGCAGCATTGAGGAAAGTCGACCTGCGTGTTGACGCCAGATTCCTCGCACGCTGCGAACGTCGCTGGTAGCTGGCAACTAAATAAAAGCATAATTATTCAATGGAACAAAGAGCAGCAAGCTCTATTTACTAGTGTATCAGAGTATCGCCGCCCCCCCTCATGCAGTAGACGATGCCACAAAAGTCCGCGTGCTGCTGGTATTCCTCCTTTTTGATGTCACCAGCAGGGCCCTCGCAGGTCTCTGCAGCTTTATCGCCAGGAAATTTTTTATAGTGAACCAACGAATTGGCCCCGACAAGGAGCACCAGCAGGATGAGTAGTGGGTACCGCCAAGTAGCCATAATGGCAGGGTCTAGTCGGACAACGCACTGCCACTGGCTTTTATAGTCCAATATTCAAATTAGCTGCAGCAGGTGGAAGCTAACTTGCGATTCGAATGAAAATCGCTGGCTTCTCGGTAGCCCCCAAATGGATTTGCTCCGACAGCTTGCTTCATCCGAACTGTTCTACTCAGATCCAGGCGACTTTTGTTAACTACTCAAGTGTTTGTTCAAAAACCTGTAAGGACTCGAGCTCTGAGCATTCCCAGATTTATTCATGCAAACGCGAAATTTCTTGATTTTCTTCTGTCTGCCGCTGCTGCTGTCGTGCGCGGTCGGCTATCGGCAGGGCAAGGTGAGGGTATTCGTATCCTAATCGCGGCACTCAGCCAGCCACTTAACGCCTCCTCCTTAACAGCAGCAGCGACGTGGAGCAGTGCGTAAGCGAATGGCCAGGCCACAGCATTTGCTCGAGGACTTTGCACCCATCAGCATGGCGGCAGGAGGAGCTTATGGCGATGGGGTGGCTGGGCTGGCTGGTGAGCAAAGCCACGGCAGTGGAGTGGGCAAGCAATGCGTCGAGTCTCCTTCGGGTTGCAATGTCAAGGAGATCTTCAAGCCCGGCGATCCCAAGGAGAAGTCTTCCGCCATAGCCGTACAGGCGGCGCAGGACGCAAAGGCGGCCAACGAGGCACAGGGGGCAGCAGGACAGGCCGCGGCGCAGCACATCAAGCTGGAGCTGGCCGAGAAGGCATTCCAGTCGGCCAAGGCCGCAGAGGCGGCTCTCATGGGCAAGCAGATGATGGTCGATCAGCTGGAGCAGGAGGTGAACGAGGCCAGCGCCGTGATCGAGCAGGAAACCAATGCGCTGCAGGGCACAGAGATCAACATGAAGGCGGCCATGGATGCCTCGCGTTTGGCCAGCCAACAGTTCCAGGCATTCAGCGAGCTGCACAAAACCTTTGAGCAGAACCTGGCCAACATCCAGACAGTGGCCATGGGCGTCCAGCAGGAGATGTCCTCCAAGACACAGCTGCTCGAGGCGGCTCAGAACCGGGTTACACTGCTCCGGAAGCAGTTGCAGGGCGCCCACGAGGACTACGAGAAGACCAAACAGGCCGCCTACAAGGCTGCCTGTGCAGCCGTCGATGCCAGGCAGAAGGCATCCACCAGCAACAACGAATCCCCCGTCAGCAGTCAGTAATGGTGTAGGGGCAAACATCATATATTTTGTAGATGATTATGCTTTTATTTCAATATTAAATGATTCCTTCAATACTTTTGCACTGAGCACAGCTCAGTCTGCTAGGAGGAAACTCTAGACTCAGCTGCAGCAGTGCACTTGCAACCGAGTCTCAAATTACTCACGAAAAGCGCACAGAAATTTCCCTAGAAGAGCGCAGCATGGAGAATTTTCCGCGAAATTCGTAGGTTTAGCCATGGGCAGGGATCAGGGGAGAGGCTTACACTATAAAGGGCTCAATCCAGCGGGTTTGCAGCGGCAGTTCCACGACAAAATTAAACATGAACCATACTCGCACCTTGGTTCGAATACTAACTGGGCTTTTGGTCGTTTGCCAGACAGATGCTCTGGTGCACTACTTCAAAATGGAAGCAGGCGCAAGTAAAGCACTTCAATCTGGTCATTGCTCATTCAGTTGGTTATTTTGATTGGTTTTTTTTTCAGAAGAAGGCTGCAAGGGTCCAGGTGGCGATTTGAAAATAGACGAAACGGCCAAGGACCCAAAAGTTTGCGGCGTCTTTGCATGCCAGAACGATAAAGGCGATGCGCTCATACACTAGCAAGTATTAGCCATAGGCACACACTTTGAACACTTAATCACGGGCATAAAATGATTATGCAGCTGCCAAAGACCAGTTGGCTTTGCGGGCTGTGATGGAAATGGCGTTAAGACCACAGCGGACTGGCCCGATTGCTGTTGGCTTTGCGTCAAGGAGGTGAACTGTGCCAAAAAGGAACATGAAGCGACAACGGAGCCCATTTAACTATAATTAATATGAGAAATGATTAATGATTAATGATTAATGATTAATCAGCAGGGCCCAATAAACGGGTATCATCTTACATGGGCCTCGAGTTGCTTTCCAGATGTACCTCAAAGCAGGTGTAATTGTTTGGGGCTTATAAAAGGTCCGAAAGAGCAAAGTTACTCGCAATCTAGCGACTGCCACTGCTTGTGTCGGTTGTTGCATACATTTGTTGCCCAAAATGCATTACTTTCCGCTGGTCATCCTGATCGGGCTCATGCCCCTGGCCTATACGCTGGTGCACAAAGACAATTGGGGCAAGAGTGCAGGTAACACACGTGCCACAGCTGCCCTTTTCTGCAACATTTTTCTCCATGAGTGGTACTCGAACTGCGAATTTCAGATGGCAAAGGCTGCAAGACCCCAAAGGGTGACATCAAGCCGGGCGGCTCGGTGCAAGACGATAAAGTGTGCGGCATTTACTTTTGCAGCAGCAAAGACGGGGACGGCCTCATACACTAGCAAGTATCCAGCCCCGACCATCGTTTCGTGTTCCTTTGTAATCCTCTTCCATGTGTTCAGCTGCCAAATCCCAGCCACATTCGCAGAGTGCAGCGGAACCGGCGTCGGTACAGACATCGATTATCCCGACTGCTGTTGGAAATGCGTCAAGGAGAAGGACTGCAGCAAGGGCGGTGCTGCAGGAGAAGCAGAAAAAGAGAAGGACACCCAGAACCCTGTACTTTAAGTTTATATTTGAAGACCAATGGGCATCTTCCCAATTTGTATTTAATGTTTAATAATTAAAAGTCAACAGCTGGTGTACGCGACGCATTGCCAACAGCAATCGGGGAAATTGCCTAACGTATGAATGCCAGTTTCCTCGCACTCCTGGAACGGAACTGCGGCTTGGCAACTGCCCAGCAGGACACTTGTTATTCGTTTGAAACATTCGGGCAACATTCGTTTTGCTCCACTTACTAGTTTAACGCGCTCGTTCCGTCTTTGCCCCAGCACACATAGTTGCCACACATTTCTGGGTGGCGGACAACTTGCTGGTGGTTGATCTTGCGACCATCCGGCAGCGTGCAGCCACCAGCGTTATCTGAAGACTTGCTCCATGCCACCAATGCGTGTGTGCCGGACACGGCCATCATCAGTACGATCATGCACTGCAGGAGAGCCATGATGGAAGACAAGTCTATGGCTGTCGCATTGACATTTATAGAAAATAACTCGCTGGGCATAGGAAACCTTAGAAGCAGGTGGCCGGGGTGCTTGCAATGGGCAAGCGGCAAACAGCCGCTTTTTGTTTATTTTTGTTTGAATCAACAATCTATGTACGCAGTACATAGATAACAGCATTCGGGATAATAATAGTACGTCATGACGCCGGATTCGTTGCACTCCTGAAACGGCACAGTAATTTGGCAACTGCATGGATTACACCCCCTTGGATTATTCGAGTAGGCTGAAATCAAATTGTGTCCCTTACTATGAAATCGCGGTGGTGCCATCTTCATCAAAGCACAGATAGTCGGCGCACATTTCCTCGTGATCGACATGGACGCCAACGCTAATTATGCGGCCGTCTGGCAAAGCGCATTTGCCAGGTTTTTCGTCTGGATATTTTCTCCAGACCAACAGCGGAAATGTGCCGGACACGACCAGCATCAAAATGATAATGCACTTCGCAAGTGCCATGATTCAAGACGAGTCTGTGACTAAGTGAAAGGAACTGTGGCTGGGACTTACTTTTATAGACAGTATTTAGTTGATCGCGCACCTGGGATTCCAAAGAAAATCTTCTATCAATTACTCTTAGTACTTTTCCTTATCGCATTAAGTAAACACCAAAATCATGGGCAACTTTAGGAGCAGTTGGCTTGCAACGGGAGTCAAGTTGCTCAGCGGATCGTATTGAATATTTCTGCGAATTGTGACGGCCATCGCGTGGACTTGGGTACTATAAAGGGCACATGCAGGCAGGCGTAGAACCTCCAAAAGCTTTTCACTCGTTGCCGTCGAAGGTTTCAGTGCGAAAATGAAGTTGAGCTTCATTTTAATGGGACTGATGCTCATCCCATGGGGAAATTCTCTGGTGCACTGGAAGAAACTGGAACCTGGCGCAAGTAACTCACTCCCCTCTACTGCCATATTCGCTTTATTCAAGGGCTGGCTCTTCGTTGAACCATTCCAGACGGCGGCTGCAAGGGCACAAAGGGCGATTTGAAAGTGGGCCAAACGGAGGACGATCCTCTTGTTTGCGGGGTCCTTCACTGCTCGGACAATGCCGGCAATGCATTCATTCACTAGCAAGTATCAACCAAAATGTATTTGTTTTGATTTGTCGTTATTTTAGTGACTAATTTCGCATGTAAATTAGTTGTCAAATACCAATTACGGTCGCCCTGTGCCCTGGCAAAGGCGTGACCTCGGAAATCATGTTTCCCGACTGCTGTTGGATATGCACTACCTTTAAGAACTGCTGATGGAAGGATCACATGAACGCCCAAAGAATGCCCTAACCCAAGAATGTGCCTGTTGGGAGGGAAATGTATGCACACACACAATAAAAGAACAGTTATAAACCAGATCTTGGTGCCTAGGGTAGGGGGTATGGGGTAGGGGAGAGGGAGGGGTGAGCTTGAGTTCGCGCAAAAGAGATTTCGGATGACGTATGCACATTGAACGGGAAAGCAAAGACAAGTATGACAACAAAAAGCAACAACGAAATCCAGAAAGCTGTTTGGGTACACAATTTGTAAGTTGCTGCTGCCGACAATTATACGCTACCTGGAATGCGAGCCCATATGTACATATGTGTGTATGTAAATTGAAAGCCGATGTACATAAGAATGCATATGTCTGTTTTGCACTCTCATATGATCCTGCTAATGAGCGAATGGGTTTCAATTGGAACCACAGATTTCCAGGAGAACCTGAACATTCCAGGCACGCGCAGAGTGGCAAAGCAACACAACTGTGGGTAGGGTTTCAAGGGGTTCAGAATCAATCATGTATCTGTGGAAGGTAAAGCAGTTGCCTCTCTCTCTCTTGCTCTTTATTTGTTAATGAGGTATTTGAGTGCCCTTCAGAAGCAGAAAGTGTATTTACACAACAGTATCAAGCTCGCCAAAGAAAAACCGCGCTACAGTATGTATTAATGTGTAGATATGTGTGTATGTATGTATGTGTGTATGTAAATTTTCGTTTTCGTTACAGTCGTCAGAAATTATTGCTGTTCAGTACAACAAAGAATAACCAGATATGACAGAGATTCACTTTCACCAACCGAAATACCACGTAATTGTACATATGACCTATTACGTTTATCCAGGAGTACGTAGCGACAGGCAACCTTAACGTTCCGTCGTCTCAACCATGCGGTGCAACATGTTCGCCCAGAGGGAGATGGCTAGCAAGAAAACGAAACGCAGCAGCGGCATGAAAGCAAACAGCGTGCCAGAGCGAGATGGCCACAATGTGCACACCCGGCAACAGCAACAAAAACACATCAAACGGTAAGCTAATAGAAATGCGACAAAAAATAAAACCAGAGGCGACGCCTGAGAGAGAGAGAGAGCGCGAGAACGAATAGAACAGCTGTCTGAGGGCCAACATGTCTGACGTCGTTCGCACTTTAACATACTCATACTCAAACGCAATCATACCAAAACCGCTCGAGAGGGGTGTACAAAAAATGACTACCGTTGAATGACAAGACAAATTTTGATCGCGCGCTCGAACGGACGTATTCCCTCCTCGTCCGCCGGCACCACTAAAAAATAAAAAAATAAGAGGAAATCAAAATCAGGGCGAAAATAAACAGACGCGCGTCCAGATTCTCGTTCAGTTGCAAACTCACGCGTTCCGTCCCAAGTACCCAGTGCAGTACCCGATGATTCTCTCCAGAAACCACGAAGAAGCGGGGAACGCTCACACAAACACCTAACGAATTCTAATTTCCATGCGTCCGTGTGCGTATGCTAGTGAAGAATTTAACACCTCGGCCAGGCCGGGCCCACGCGTGTTTCACACATTTCCAGCATCGGCTTTTTCCGTGAATTCGCGAGAGTCGGAATAAGGCGGCAACACGTGGATAGACAAGGCTCATGACTCAGAGATTTGCATTACCAGCACCAGTTATTAGTCAAATTTTCTAAAATTGAAAGACACCCGAAAAAGGCTGAAAAACCCACAGCACACTCCATTCCCCCCCAAATGTGTTAAATTCGTGTCACGATTTTATAATCAGCGTCAGGGCATAGGGGAGGTGGGTTGGTTTCCAGCTAAAATACCCGACGAAGAGGTGTAAGCGAGAGGCATAATAATTTAACATTTCCAAGCCCGAGACGAAGAAGCAGAGAGAACCGTTACAATGGTGACAAAGGCACACGTATACGTAACGGCAGGCAGCAGGCAGCGCTGCCTCAAACGTGTTGCATGCAACATGTCTTCGCGATCGGATCGGGGAGGCATGATAACTGAGCATTTATGTTCTTCATTTGCTCCAAGTCGCACACCGAAGAAGCAGAGAGAACCGTTACGATGGCGACAAAGCACACGTAAACGTAACAGCAGAGGCAGCGCTGCCTCAAACATGTTGCATGCAACCACTCAGCGCGATCGGACCGGAGATCGGAGCCATGCCGAACCACGCCGGCGCTGGGAGCTTTCAATTTTTCAATTGGTTCGGTTAATTCGTTTTTGGCGCCCGATCCCGCCGGTGTTGTTCGTTCTTCGTTCTGTTTCTGTTCTGTTGGAGCTTCAGTGCTCTTGCACATCGTGGACGGACGGCCTGTACCTACACATGTACAAAGTTGTGTGTTTGCCGCGCGGGCGTTATTGTGCATATTTCCGGTGGCCGAAAAAAGAGAAATAACAGCTATACGATAAACTGTGTCACAGCCAAGCTGGCGTTTCCAACAAATCGCTCACAAACACTCCCATCATCTGTGCATGTGCTGTGTGCTCGGGTGCGTGTGTGTGTGTGTGTGTATAGGTGCTCCACTCGTAAAAATAATAATAATTGCATTTATCGGGTGTCCGACTGGCGCCAGCTTCAATTTAATTATAAATAACATCAACTAAATAGCGCCATGGCTTCCACACTCTTTCGAGTTCAGTTCCAGTCTGCAATACCAGATGTAAAACACACACACACACGTGGGACCATGTGTGTGTCCCCACATATTACTGTAGTTCTGTACACTTTTCATCGTTTTTGCTTGGAAGAGTCCAAGTAGGCGTTGAGGGCAAACCTCTCGCCCCCCATCTGGTCGGTCTCTCATCTCTCAGGGAGCATCACGCGCGCCGGTACAAAGTTAAAGTTTACACACACGCGAGAACATGCACAACCTTCGTAGTACTTAACGGATCCAGGGTTTGTCAACCCACTGTCGAGCCAAGGGGAAAATCAATACATTGCAAGGCCTTTGCATTGGCGCAGACCCAGAGCCATACTCAGACGGAGCTGAAGATAATCCCAACCAAAAACTTAAACCGATTATAAGTAACGCTCGAAGAGAATGAAATAACTTCTTATCGGGAAACGACCGGGGGCCAATTTTCCAAGGTTTCCGAAAACTGGCAACTTTGAGCTGTCGCAGTCGATAATAATTAGCGAGAATTCTCGGCAATAAAAAAGCAAGAAAATATTTAAAATAACAAAAGCGGGAAACACACAGTGCTGCGGCAACGAAAACACGTTTTGCTATTCGCAAGGACATCTGTTCACATCTTACCGGGCAGCATTAGATTCTTTAGATACCTCTAATACTGTCAGGTAAAGATGTCGTCCGTGTCCTTATCCATCATAAATCCCAAGAAGAGCAAACAAGGCGTAAAAAACTAGTATTTTCAATGGTGCGTACAGAAGCCCGAAAAACAGATCACAGCGGAAGGAAGGACGGAGAAGAGCACGAAAGACCGAAGAAAGAGAGAGCTGCTGAATGTCGATGTGGATAAATGAACAGGCGGCGGCAGAGAAATGGTCATAAATTCTTTTTTTTTGCAGCATCAGCAGCAGAAACGACAAGACGCTACGCTACGCGACGCGACGCGTTTTGGGATGACATCAGTAAGAGACAGAAAGAGAGATAGAGAGCGAGAAAAATCTGTACTCGGCCCCTCTTCTGTTCGACGGTCGACCGGCGCCGCCAATGGGCAAGTGATGGGGAGGGAACGGAGAGTGTGAGTGCAGGTAAACCTTATAGAAAGACGACAACGCGGACGGAGGAACGGGCAGAAGAGGAACCAATAAAATATATATTTTATGGTTCCGCTTCTTTTTCTTCGTCTTGCGTTTCGTTTCTTAATTTCTTCTTTTCAGCATTTTAGTGACAAAAATTCACTTTTTATGATGCCATCCCTCCCGCTTTACCCCTCCCCACCTGTTCCGCGATTTACGATTATAGCTAACTATCCGCAGCATCAGGTTGGGCTTCGTCTTGTTATTGTTTTTTTTTCCCTATCTCTGTTAAATGTTCATAATCCGAAATTATAGAAATGTGAAACCAGAAAAACTGTTCGGACAAAATCTTCCAAAAGGGAAACAAATTAAATGCTTACAAATTGCAGAAACGTGATCGTATCGAAGAGCAAAGCTCGGTTTATATGGGCACATTTCAATGGTTTATGGTTGGCATAATTGTGCGGAACTTTAAAAAATGATGTTAAAATCGGTCGTACCTGTTCAGATCATTTTGCTGATTGGATTATACATTTATTTGGGCATAGAGAAGCTGTTGCCTCGTTTGGTCAGTTCTTGGGTATTTTCCCTTTTGTGCTCGTCTTCTTCTGCTTGCAATTCTTTGCATTTGCCGATAAGGTGGAGCTTTGGATGCTGATCTGCACTCACTCTATTCTCTCTCTTTACACTCTCTCGCAACACTTACCGTACACATTGTGCTGTGTGTGTGAAGCAAACACAACTGGGACTATTGTCAAGAGTGACCGACCAGAGTAACGTGTCTATGCGGTCTCTGAGGGGGAAACACTTAGCGGGGGAGGGGAGATATATGACCCACAAACACACTCGTAATGCACACCAAGGAATAGGGATCGTAAAAGCGTTTACAGGCTTTTAAATTTTACTGTTTCTTGGCACAGTGGTACTCACTTTTAATGTAGTAGTTGGTGTTGCTTGGTTGCTTGGTTGCTTGGCTGGTCCCCCCTGTGGCATGGGGGGTTAATCTAATCAGGAAAACAAAAAATGCGTTAGCTGCGGTCGTCTGGTGGAAACGATACCCAATGGCGGAACCAAACGAAACGAAACGACCAACGTAACCAGAACGAATATAACACCTGTTAATGAACTTAGAAATACACGGAGACATGTGCTGGCTCCTCTGCTAATATATGCATGCTTCCCTTTCGGAGTCTTCAAATTAAAGATTCTATAAATTAACTGAATCAGTCCTTAGGGAGTCCTTAGATTAAGTTTCCCTAATCCCCTAATTTCTGAAAGAATTTACTTCGACCTTGTGCAAGGTGACTGTCTACTGGCTTTCATTTTTCGCACATATTTTCTTGCCTACAGATAGCATCTATACATAATAAATCTGTTGTCAGCGCACAGACACGCTGGCCAAGCCCTGAACGACTCTTGCTATTTCATAATTCGTTTGAGAATATTCTAAGCGGTCTAACGGTCAGAAAAAGGTGCCAAGTCAGCGGCAATCGTGCGACAATTTCACAAGCAACACAATCATCGGCCAATCTAAAAAATTAAATCAGGCAATACGCGATAGGACAGGGCACGGCTGGGCTGGGCTGGGCATGGCCGCACTTCAAGTCCTCAGGCCGAGTGCTAATCGAAATAGCGGCCAGAACACTTGTGGTATCCACACCCAAACACATGGCCATACCACATGATAATGTCACATTTATACACCATCCCAAAGCCATTCTCCCGCTGAAAACCAATAACGATCGATTCAAAGTCAAACAAAGCCAAACAATTCCAACCAACAAATCCCATTGACAGTCAATATGCCCGAGGGGAAACTGTTGAAATGAGGCTCATATCGCTGCATATCTCACATCTGACATCTGGTTTGGGTTTTCGGTGGAGTTGCTGCAGCTGCATGTGGCAGGGGAGAACACATAGGACACTTGAACGAACTGATTTGAGAGCCCTTTGACTTGACCATTGACCAATTGTAATCATCTTTGAGACCCAAAAATCCGTCTTTTCTGTCGGTTCGAGGCAATCTCACTGTCTTGCAGCAGTTGAAGAATTGTCCAAAGCGCCGTCAGAGTGGAGAATTGTAGTGTGTAGAGAGGAGCAGTATCTAATCGGCGCCTGAGGAAAGAGTATCTAATCATGAACGACGGACGCACCACAAGTGCGTATGGAGAGTATCTAATCGTGTGTTGAGTCTAAGACCACGCCAGTGGGGAGCCTGCACTAACTACATATATACACATACATATCTTGACGATTAGATCCAGCAATTCCGGGGTAAAAAATATGAAGAATGTGTGAAATAAGAGTAGATCCAATAGCTGGAATACGGAAATAAACGAACACTTATAACTGTCTGATGGCACAGCCCCCCTCTCGTCCACCTCCACCGTCCACCGTCCACCGTCCACCGTATCTCGCCAGGCAACAGAGAGCGAAAATATACGAGTACACCAGAGGCGCTGCCACTGAAATGAGCTCCAATCAAAATATTGAGCATGATTTATAAATGACGGACGGGGTGTAATATAATATGACTTGACATGATAATAGAGCGAAGCCAAAAGGAAAACGAAGGAAAATAACAGAAAAGAAAAGAAAAGAAAAGCAAAGCATGAACACGATGAAGCTGCAGCAGCAGGGGAAGGCCAGTGGAGGGGGGGAAAGGGGCAATGAATGGGCGTAAATCAATTAAAGGGGCTAACAAAGCAATCAAGCTCTAGATTCATATGAAACGGGAATGGGAATGGGAATGGAAATGGGGTACTACAAGCTCCCGTACCGACCCGAGCGAGTCATGCTCCGTCACTCCTTGACTGGATTGTGTCACAGCAAAGAGTTCAATTGCCCCAAAAATGCATTCGATAGCCGCAGTCGAACTGGACTTCAACACTTCATCAACGAACGCGCAGTGTGTACCCCTAATGAAGCAAACTTGTAAGTCGGCATGGGCTCTTTTTCTCTCGTTGTGCATTAATTAGTTATACACTAATTTCCAATTCCGATTTCAGGCATGCAAATGTTAATTGACCACTTAAGTTAAAACTTCACAATGATCGTTAATAATACCGAGCGATCTTTAAAGAAAAGAGAAGAAAGAGAAGGAGCAGGCAGAAGGTTGACTGAACGACGACGACAAACTGTAAGCCAAAAGAACAGGTTCAAAACCTTAACTAGCCAAGTCGAAAACTCGTAAAAGATATGCAGCCAGCCAACACACACACACAGCGGTCCGGGATTCATTCGACTGTAAGTAGTCACCTTCCAGAGCTGGTGCTGATGATGCCGAGTATGTGGGAAAGCTGAGGCAGGCCCCTTTGAGCTTCAGGCTCTTAACTGTCCGTTAATGATCTTTTCTGCTGGCTCATTTAGTCAGCATCATGTGTGTGTGCCCATAAGATGTGAATTTTGTCTGGGTTCTAGCGAAATTGAGAACAGAATTTGACAAGTAATTGGAACAATTTAATTTTGAAAATTTCACACGAATGAGGTTTAAAAGATGGATTAGATTCCACTCCAGTACTTATTTGATCATTAGTTTATGACCAAAATCGCTGTTATAGGAAATTCAATTAACTGTAGTTGGTTTCTATCTAGAGCAGTGACTATAAAACATAAAAACTATTATCTTAAATTGATCAAACACTGGTACGGGTACGGGCACAGGTACAGGTACAGCTAAGTGGTGCAGTGAGTATGGGAAGAGAAATCCATGCTCATGGCTCATAATCAAGGGCCATGAAAGCTGTTTCCTGCCCAAGATGATTGCATTGATTGCACCCAAACTGGAACGGGAATTGGACCAAATGGGCAAGGCACAAAAGGAAGGAGTCGCGATTCTGACTCGTGCCGCTGCTAAAAGAATGCACATGGAGTGAATGCCGGCCTAGCGAAACTAACACTGCTGGAACACTCACTCTCGTGGCCACAGGTAATTGAACGTTCCAACCCCACACCAAACACACAGAGAAGGACCAGCGGGTACACTGAGTGGAGCTACTGTGTGCAGCATAGCCGTGGCTCCATGACACGCCTGCTCTTTAGCGCTGGCCCTGGGAGGGGCCTAGGACTGGGACTGGGACTGGTCCGCATGCGGACTGCATCGCATCGCTCCGCTGATTCAGCATCGTCGCTGGGGTGCATCAAATTAGCATTGTTCCCAGAGTCAGTGAGCTTTTTGGGCCCTGGAAAGAGGGCTCGCGAGACTGTACTTGCAATGCAAGAATAACCTTTAATTGGATTGAGGAATTTAAAATAAATATTAAAATGTTTGTCATTCATCAAAATACTCGCATTCTGTTCATTTCATAGCATAGATAATCCCATGGTTGGTGGGAGGGAGGGAGGCAGGGAATTAATTACCCAATTACTCGTACACATTGACACACTCGTGGACTGTAGACTGTGAAACGTAACTATCATAAAAGCATATTTCGTGGAGCAACAAGTACAGTGTTCGAGCAGGCATTAATAACTTGGCCTGCAATTTGCATTCGTTATCCGAAACACACATGGACGCCCGCCCGTACATCTACGACTCTATGGAGTTATGTTATGTATTGGGGCCACAAAAGCGCCACCTGGCGGGGCCACGCGTGTGTGGCTAATCGGCCCCGTCCGTTCGGGTTTGGTAATTAAAAAATGTTAACATTTTCAGCCTGGTTATTCTATTTCAGCTCTCTTTTTTTTCGAACTTTGTTTGTGTTTCGTTAAGTTGAACTAATGGAATAATTAGCGTAAATGTTGCTGAACAAATTTCCGCTGTTTTGGGGCGACTATTGGTCGGCAGAGTCCACGGAATTCTAGACATTTACTAGAGGAGATGCGTCCTCCAGGCCACACTGTCGGAGGTGTGGTTGCTCAGTGAGCAATTAGCCAAGACAAGAATCAACAAGTGGAGGCTGTTCAAGCCGTCATGAATATGCATGAACAGCTGATTTATAAGTGAACTCTACGCCCCATCATAGCTTGAATAGCCATCAACTATAACTATGCACATGTATGTATGTACAATATAAACTTAGCACGTAAAAAATAATATAAATTTGCATAGAAATTGCAATGAACCTTAGCTCGAAAGTGGAAGAACAGCAAAGCAACAGGTTAATGGCAGGCGGCAGCACTGGCCAACAAACGAGTTGGCGAGAAGGCCATCCACACACATGTCCAATATTTACGCAATTACATTACCAACAGAGCAAAAAACGATCGATAGTAACGAAGATTAAAGTATTGGAATTATTTTATTTTGTTTTGCTGAACAGTGGCCACACTTAGCGTGGCTGCTGCTGCTGCTGTTGCTGTACTCGTACACATATTATTAGCATGGCTGTTGTTTGTTGCTTTAGCAAGTGGTGGCAGACTTTTGAACCCTCGCAGCTGACTCTCGCACACAAGTGCAAATTAAATGGTTGCGGCGGGGAGTGGGGGGATGGCAAAAATGTTTGTTCATTTACTTGGCCAGCACAGCTAGTGGCTACTGTTGGGTTGGCCAGTGTACTCTCTCGCCTGCATTTGACCATCAGATGCGAATTGTTTTTCTTTTTTGTGTTTTGATTTTATTTTCCGCTTGTTATTTATAGCGCAGAACTCTGCGGCAAGGGGTAGTCGAAGGGGGAGAGTGCCAGGCAGGCAGGCAGTGCCACAGAGAGCAACAGAGTTATTAATGCTTGGAATTTTCATAATCGAAACGGGTTTCCGTTTCCAAGCGTCCGTCCAACTGCCGGCAGCGCAGAGGCAGAGGCAGTCAGGCAAGGAAGCACGCGCGTCTTGGCCATGCAGAGACGGAGACGGAGACCAGACCCAGACCCAGACTCACTCTCTGAACAAAATCCAAGCCTGGACTTACAGAGAGAGAGCGAGAGAGCAGGCAGAGTTATGGCAATGGCAAGACAAGCACACGCCTTGCGCGAACAGGTGAAGCGTTTAACTGTACGTGGCTGGTGCAGAGAGGTTGGTGGGGCAACCAATTGCCCTGAGTGCTCCATGGCTGGACTTTGTATGCCGTGTGTGAGCCATGCACCTGGGTATATGCAGAAAACAAAGGCAGAAAAACACTCTCGAGCCGATCACTAATTTGTTGAACTTGCAATTGCTTTTCAGGATGGTTTAATCGCGAGGCTGAATTCCGATAATGGAGCAGGAAGGCCGATAGGGGCATATCGATTATTATCGTGGTATATATTGTTCCCAAATTAGATCGTCGCACTCGGCTGGCGTTGGGCTGCTAATGCAAATTCTTAATTATCGCGCTCCTTCCTTGGCGTCGCGTCGGTTCGCATCGGCTTTCACTCACGCAACATGCATGCTGCAACAGGTTGGACCGAAAAAAGCTCATTGCCCATGGCAATGTGATTGCCATGCCTTGCCTTGCTGAGCTGCAGGTAGCCAGCCGCAGCCGCAGTCGCAGCCGCAGCCCCATCGTCTTTGCCATTGCCAATGCCAGCGCTGCCATTGCTCGACGCTGCACGATGGCCAAAGCTGTAATTTGCTTAAAAGCAGCGAACAAATAAAGGGTTTCAATGGCTCGGCGCGGCTTGCTTTTCACTCTCCCCTCCCCCTCGACTGTCGGACAGCCAGAGATAATGGATGGAAGAGCTGCAGCAGGGGGAGCAAGAGCAGGAGAATGAGGATGAGAATGAGGATCAGTGACAAGTGCACGTTGTCCGCTTATGACGTTGGACGACAGCTGCCGTATTTTTTGACTGGCCCACGGACAGGCCTCTGTCATCCTCTGCACATCATCTAGGCCTCCGCATCCTGGCCCATACATAGTTGATTTTTAATTAAGTGCGTGTAGGTTTGAGCTTTTCCTCCATGCCTACCCGCTGCACTTGATTCTTGGACTCTGCAGCGATGCTGCGTTCCCAGGCCATCTGAAAACTGATTAGAAGTTGCCTCACAAATCGAAAATCAATGCAGCGGCAGAGGCGATCCGGGGAGGCCTTCTGGGACTCCGTGGACCCACAGCAGTGCACCCAAAACTTTGTTCGGAAATCCATTTAAAATGCAGAGCGAGAGAGAGAGAGCTGGGGAGGCAATCAATTGCAGTTTCGGGAGGCATGGAGCGACCGCGAGAGAGCGGTTGCTGATAAATGCCCAAAGGCTGCCAAGCGCAACGTCGATAAAATAAATGAAGAAACCAAACGGCGCTAGAGAGAGAGATGGAGAGAGAGAGAGAGAGAGGGAGCGAGCGAGAGAAAGAGCGGTAGCGTAAGAGAGTAAGAAGAAGCTTATCGAAAGAACGCGTGGAATAAGAAAGGAAACGAAAAACGGCGCTAGCAGCGCCAGAGAGGGTGAAAGAGGAGCTTATCGGAGGAAAGCCGGCGGGGGGAATAAGTAAGGAATTTATTCATAAACATAAGAAAAAATAAGAGCCCAAGCCGCAACTCATGGAACAGGTTCACCTTTGGATTCGGCTGCGGGACGAGACTGGCAGAGAAGAGGAAGGAGGCTTAAGTATTTATTATTAAAAGAGTCCGAATGCAATTGCGGCTCGCCCAAGTGGTTTACACTGCCACCGCCGCCACAGCCATTGCCAGACGATGGCTTGGCCACTCTGCACGATAATCATGGGGTGTGAAAAATTTATGAACGCCGACTTCTCGGTGCGCACGCGCACAACACCGCGCAGGAACCGCAGCCCCATCGACCCTGACAGCATAATGAATATACAAATAAATGTTTATAAGTATGCTTAATGCCCAAGAGGCAGTCCGGAAGGGAACTCCGCCACGCAGCAACAAGTGGATCGGATCTTTGTGAACTGAACTTTCGATCGATCGATGGATGGATGGATGGATGGATCGGCTTGAGTCATCAAACTGCCTAAGTGCTGTCAGACGGCTGGTGGTGGTACAGCAGAGCTCAGATTTATGGCCTGTTAAAACGTCTGCCGCAAAGTGCCAGCCAATTGGTTAAGAGCTACAAGCCCGAGATACAACACGTCCGATAACAAAGGGGAGTACAGACAGACAAACACAAACACATCGACAGAAACGGGGGAGCGCGCCACATGTCCAAAAAAGGATCCACAAGGAGCAAGTCCAAGTCCAAGTTCATAAATAAAAGATGGCAAAACCCAGACCCGAGAAAGGGTAAAACAATGGACAACAATCGCACCGTCCTTTGAATTGAAAGCCCTTTAAGCCAGGGAACTGCATCCGAGCATCCGAGGCCGAGCTCAAATATGCAGACGTGACTTATTTGGGACAAATTGTGTGAGTTACGTTTCGCCATAAAAACAATAATGGCAGCAGGATGAGTGGCTAAGGAAGGGAAAGGGTGGAGTGGGAACTGCAGGTCTGAAGAGGAAGTTTAAAGAATTAATCGCATTGTGAGCACTCAATGAACATTTCGAAAAAGGTAAGAGAAATAATAATTGGAATAATGTCATAAATAAATGTTAAATTAATTTGATGATGGAATGACATTCTGCACTACTTCTAAGGGAAGCTTAAGCTATGAATTTATTTAGCACACATTAGCAGAAAGAATTCAACTAAAATAAACTAAACTAAACTAACTTTTCTCACGCTGAATATCCCCAGTGATAGTCGATAAGAAGCGAAGAAAAATAGAAATTGGACACCTTCGACACATCGACTAGGACAAGTGTGTCTGCCTAGAAGATTATGCCTGAGGCAGAGAGAGAGAGAGAGAGGATACGCTTGGCTTGCATGAGTCTGGGCATGGAGAGACAGAGAAGGGGAGCGAAGGAACGGTGCCCCCTGGAAGGTCAATGGTCCGCAGCGGATCGAACCAGCCGATACCATGGAATCAGCAGGCTTGGCTTGGGGTTTATGGTTTCTTATTTACGAGTCACTGGCTCCCATGGTTATTTGGAATGTTTAGTTCTGTGACACTGACTCGGTCCCAAAAACCAAAACCATAAGATACTCCGCGCTATTTACTTGCTAGGGGAATAATTAAAATTTATGGCCAATGCGCTTCGAGCCAATTCATTAGTCGAATTCTGGACGCGGCCTAATTAAAAAGTTTCATCAATTTTCAAGCCCCAGCCACCTGCTTGTCGATAATGGTCTAGGGGTATCGTGTGTGTGTGTTGTGTGTGTGTGTGTGTGTGTGTGTGTGTGTGTGTGTGACTAATTCACCAAGCTATAAAGTATGTTGAGAAGGGTCAAAGTTGACTAGAGTCAACTTAAATTTTGAATCAGACTGCAGGATTCCTGTTTATCCTCCTTTCAACTATTTGCTATTGGATTTTAATGAGGAATATGCGTACATAATATGTATGTAAATATGTAAAAATTATGATGGGATTGCCAAGCGGACACGGACAAGCCTGACAACTGCCACAGAGTGTCATTAGCATGCAGGCCACAGAGCCAGAGCCACTGCGATCGGTTGACAGTTGTCAAATCCACTTACGCTCTTCATGGTAAACACATTTTGACGAGCCTGCTGAAGGATTTATTCAAGTGCAGACAGACTAACAGACTAATAAGTGCCACAGGCATACACACACACAAAGACTATTATTATATACAAATGGAGCTGCTGGTGGTGCTGCTGCTGCTGCTGCTACCTGTTGCTACCTGGAACCCCCCCCCCCCATTCAAATTCGTAACGGACAAAGCGGCGAGTCAAGTGGGTAACCCCTTCGCCTTCTCCTTCTTCTTCTCCTTCTCGCGATTCTATATATACCTATAACTGAGTTCCGTGAAAGATAAAAGAGAAAAACCAGGCATTGCCAGAGTTGATTGAAGAGTAAAAGGCATTGCCAGAGGAACAAAAGCAGATCAGTCTCTTCAGACGATCTCTCTCAATCAAACAGTTGTGTTCTTCGAGGGTCGAAGGTGTTTGGCACATACTCGACAAATACAAGAAGTACACCTGAGTGTGTCCCGTCCCTGAACGGGTTTGGTGGCAACCGAATCGTGTGGAGTCTGCCTCGAGGGCCAACTGTTTCAATAGCGAGCTGATCAAATGTGGCTGGCTCCTTCGTTTGTTCTTCTCCAGCTGTTTGGCACTCGGCGTAGTGGTGGGGTGCTCTTTGGGGGATAATAGAAGGTGACTCCACTCAGGGTCTAGCGTAATATTTGCTCAGCACACACGTGTATTGACAGAACCAAGCATAAGCGAACGGAACAGAACAGAACAGAACAGAACAGAAAAGTCAAAATGGAATACTTGAAGGTACCCCCGAATGTGTAGCCCGAAAAAGAACTCGTGACTTAACAAGGCCAAAAGTAGTGCGAGTCGATGGTCGAGATGGTGGCA